GGAGGAGGAATCCGTGACGGAGGGGTCGGGGGACAGGTCGACGGCGAGGGGGTAGGGGGACAGGTCGGCGGCGACCAGCGAAAGGGTAGGCGATCGGATCTGGGTCAGCGAGGGGATGAGGTGGGGGGTGGGTGTGTACTTACCTGTGCTCCTAGCCGTCGTCCGCCGCCGCCCGCCACTGGCAGGGAGGACGGGGGCTTAGGGTCGACGCGCCGACGACTACTCCGAGGAAGAGGAATAGCCGTTACACTGGAGAAAGCAGAGCAGAGGAGAGAGAAAGATGAACTAGCATATATGAACCAAGAAATCACAGCCGTCACATGTAGCATACTATACTAATAAATAATGCACAAAGATGAACTAGCATATATGAACCACGAAATCACAGCTTGGGTTCCGTTTCCCACTTCCAAAACTCAAAAGCTTGGAATCTTCACAAAAACATCCCCGTGCTGTTTTCACGACTTAACCTTATTTTGAATTGCATACAAAATTTGGTAGGTCCCAATATAATCTCTAGATGATGCAAATTGGTAGTGTATGACAAAAATTAATAAATTGCATTACAAATCATCGCACATTGAAGAAGAATCATCTGTTGTGTGATAGGTCAAAGCAAACATGCTACCCTGACCTGTATAGGGTATTCCCAACTTGTTCGAGCATGGATATTAAGAAGTTCTGAATCTGTGTTGTGAAATTGTTTAGAAGAAAGAGAAATGTGTGTACCACACATTGTTTCCTATAATGGAAACTGGAAAAGTATTTTGGGACATACAAAAAGAAAAGATGAAAAATCCTAGCAGGGCAGAGAGAATATTGACACCTTAATCATCATGTGCTTACCTAATTCACATGCACAAAGCAAGTCAATGATGCACTATGCATCCAAGCAGATAAAAAAGTACATAAACCCATCTACTACTAGTTTAGCAGGAATATATGGATGACATGACAAATTGAGAACTAGAGAACAATGCAAAAACCACATCGCCAATAGCTAAAGTACAGTGTAAAATAGCATTTTTCGTGATATAGTTGCACAATTGTTCTTTTCATCTCTGCATACTGCACTTACACATATGTCGTTCCATTATAGGCATTACAAGCAAATGGGAAAGCAAAAAGAATAAATGAGAAATAAAAATGTATGTACTTGTCTCACCAACAGTAGATACACACAAAACCTATAAAGACTAAACTATTGTTTAAAAATAGTCACTCCATACCAATATAAGGTTCCCATTCACTATTTACAAGATCAAATTATAGTCCCTGACATAATATTATTGTTTAAATCATAGTTACAGAATTCGTTTACATAGCCGCGATTTCCGAATTGGTACGAATCGTACCGGATCGCAAGTCTCCGGCGATCCAATCGCCAGCGGTACGGAAATCCAATTCGGGTTGGTACAGCGCTCCAATTCGCAATTCGCTGGCAATCCAGATGTCCTCGAACGTCGCACCAAGTCGGAGAATGTGGAGTACCAATCACCGGCGGTCCAGCGATCCAAATCGCAATTTCGTCTCTTCCGCGACCTTCCCTCTTCCAATTTGCGTCAATTCGCGATTTCACTTCCCCAAGTTTCGTGCGAGTCGTTCCTAGTCTCCATGCGTCTCACGATGGTTCTCTGACTTAATGTTTCTTTTTTTCCTAGGCAGTCTCCATATGTGTGTGTGTGTGTGTGTGTCTCATCTCTCAAGTCTCACCACAACCCAATCTTTATTCACTCAATATCTAGTAATTTTTTCTCTCTTTTTTCAATTGCTTTTGGCAAAAATTATAAAGCCCATAATTCTCAAGATGATAGTAACAGTGAGTCCCATATTAGCAACACCCAAAATTATATTGATGTTGATGAAGAAGTTGTAGCTGTTGAACAATTTGAGAGTTCAAGTCAAAGTCACGCTCCCACCAATGTTAAAGAGAAGGATAGTTACAAGCCCCTATTAGATGAAGTTACCTTCATTGGTACAGGTAATTTTTTTCTTCTTTTCTTTTTTTTTAAATAAAATTACACACTCACACCATTTTGTTTTTTTAAAGAAATTGTTTTTTCTTTTTTTATATTGGAGAATAAAACACTCACACCATTAGCTAAGAAAGTTTTGTCTCAGCCAATTAGTAGCTCTTCGGCGGAGAGAAACTGGAGTACATACTCCTATATCCAAAATGTCAAGAGGAATCGCTTAAATTGCAAGAGAGCCGATAAACTTGTGTTTATTCACTCGAATATTCGACTTCAGTCGTGCTTTTCAGAGTCCTACAAATCACGCCCTCACAAAAACTGGGACGTGAATCCTGAAAATGCATATATAGAAGGTTCAAGTGCTTGCCTTGAAGAAATGGTTTGGGAAGACCTTAATGATGAAGGCTTTGACAATGGGAGAGGAAAAAGGCAGCGTCTAGATTAGAATATTTTAGATGATGTCTTGTTTTTCAATTGGATTTTGTAATGTTATGCACTTATGCTCATCTTATCTATTTTTGTTTACTTTTGTTTTGACTTTTGGTACGCCGAACCAAATACATGGTACACCGTACCGCTTCGTACCACTTCGTACCGAAATGAACCTACCCCCCTTCGTACCGAATTCGTTACCTCTAGCGAATTTCGTACCCGTACCGCATACCCGTACCGAAGCGTACCGCGATTTATGTGACTATGGTTTAAATAGGGTGTTTTGATTTTGTCCAAATTTGGGAGATATCTATCCGAGGGGTTTGATATCTCCCTCAATCTACAAAGTACGCGAACTACTTCCTTCCCATTTCAACTTCCAAGACAATTGCAGCAGCCAGCCTCCCTCAAAATTTGAAGTTTGTGGTGGGACTTCTTGTCTACCCAGACTTGCCGGAGTGACGCTCTGTTTTGGAGCTTTTGGAATTCTAGTCGACAGTTGTCAACTAGCCCAGTACAGGTGCATGGCGTCGTTCTTGAGTTTCTCCCTTCCAGACTTCCTCTGGTATAGCCGTATACATATGCTTTATTGTTATTGTGGTATTGCCTAATCTTTTTTCTAAAAAAATGCAAAGAATAGGAGTACAGTAACCCTTCATATTTTAATATTATTATGGAGTCATGCATTGATCTCAGAGTATATTAACAAGGAGTGATGTTTGAAATTAAGGATTAACAGTTTTCCAGCATTTTGTCATATCACATGTCTTTGATTGTTATGTGCTAATCAAATATTGTTTTTTGTACTTACACTTCCATTTTTAGTACTCCCTCCGTCCCTTTGAGTATTTGTCCATTTTTGACTCTTTTCAGTCAAAATTGGTAAACTTTGACCTCAAATTAAATAAAATTGATATTAGATATTGATACAAAAATAATTTTATTAGATTTATTATATGAAATATTTTCAAAATATTATTTTATCTAATTAATATACAATATATATTTTGTTTATTATAGGTCAAATGTTGAAAACAATTGACTGAAAAAAGTCAAAACTAGACAAATAATGAGGGATGGAGGTAGTATTATTTTTGGTTATTGTTTCCTAGCAGTACCTGCATCCTATACTTTTTTAAAATACCATTTTCAGTCCTCGTCCCTGTACATGCACCTGCACCCATCCCAGTGCAACCTAGCATGCCCACTAACAACCATCATTTCAGATCTCTAATCACTTTCCTTTCAGAACTCATATAACTTATTCCAGATTTCATGAACTATATCATATCAACCCCGCTTTGTTCACCAAACAGAACCTAAATCAATGTTCAAAATGGCATATTTTGGTTTTGAGGGGTTTTTTGTCCATGGCATATTGTGCAAGCCTCAAGGTGTATTGAGGCATAAGCCTCATTCTAAAGTACCAAGATGTGCATAAAATATTATTTAAATTAAAGATAGAACACTATTAATAACATAATCAATCCATGAACACCTCCAGCCCATTAATGAAGACAACAACCTCAGACCTCCAGCTGAACAAAGATGACGAGACTGAGAAAAGGTTTAGGGTTATTGGTTAAAACACTAATGCACTTAAATTAAATCAGTTGAATTGATTGATTTGACCCTGTCTAAAAACCTTAGGGAAGACAATAGTGTATGCAACATTGCAACCCTACTGCCATGAGTCATAAACGTCATGAGGCGTACACAACCTTCCACAATGGCTGACTTAAGTGCATAGCGCATGGCAACAAATTGGTTTTGAGGAGCGGAATGAGGCGTGTTTACGCCATGCTATTTTGATCTCTGCCTTAAATATATACTCCTGAACTTTTGATATTTATTATTCAGTTCTTCTATTAATTGCTACCTAAATGATAGCTCAGGGACTATGCATGCAAAAGTGCAATAACTAGGATACAAAAAGGACTATTAAGAAACAACTTAGAGGCAAAAAAACACTCTCTTCCATACTACATTCAGTATTCCTTTCTTTAATTTCGACCTTATCTATAAATATCACATTACTTTGGAGTTCAAAATAGTTAGTCACATGAAAGTGTAAAAAATCATGAAGTGTTGTCTCCTCAATCTTTATACAAGACAACCACCAAACATAAACAAGACAACATGGAGAACAGCATGCGCATGGGCTAAAAATAGGAAGAACAAAACTCGAGAAGACATTCCACACACAAAGAATTTCAAAAGGTTAAGAGGAAAGTAGAAATGGTGTATACAGTTACAGAGACTTACATAAGATACAGCCCCCTTCCATATGTCCACATTTCCTGCTCAACATAAAATAATATGGAGCATCAGAAAATATAAACGAATCAAGATCCTATGCATAGATTGAGTTAATGGAGGAAAGAAGATGAAACCAGAGGAAGCAGAGAAGCGAGGAAGTGATAAGCCGAGAGATGAACGTAATGCTACTGTAGCTGGATGGGTAGGAGTGGAGATGGTAGTGAAAAATCTTCTCCACATCTTTCAATCTCTTATAGTGCCTGGGTCCAATGGGGAGTCTGCCACAGCTGTAGCTAAATGGTACTGCATAATTGAGAAAATTGGTTTAGCACTTCAAATATCTAAGCCCTGTTTGGTATTAGTCTTATTCTGTTCATAGATGTCAAGGGTGTGAGGTGCACCGATGCACAAAGGGGCCTTGGATCCTTGATGCACATCTGAGACATGCATATCAAGAACATGAGGAGCATATAAAGAAAAAAAGAGTAGTAGCTCTAATATACCGGTTAATGTGACATATCCTTACAAAATTTCAAAAGAAATGATAGTTTTTCAAAACTACAACAAACAAATAAAAGCATGAGAACATAAGTCATAGAAAAATGACCAAGAACCAAAGTCATACAAATAATCAAGAACAAAATTGCAAGGGACTGAGCCATTGAACAGCAGTGAGGTTCCACAGAAGATTGAGACGTGAAGCTGACCACAGAAGATTGAGATGTGAAGCTGAGGCTGGGAGATGCAATGATGAAGATCGGGATGCAATGCTGTCAATAGAGAACTCAAGATGTGCAGAAACTGAAGAAATCCCTGATGCGCGCGCATCATATGTTCCTCACTGTGTGCAATAACAAGCCATTATGTGCATAACTCATATAGATCGCCCACATCAAGATCCCTGATGTGTTAAGCCTTATGCATCACATGTAACACGCCTCAGAATAACCCGATGTTCTATCTTATCTTTTTATTTTGGTCAATTGCAGAAAATGTTTGCCGATCTGTTCCACCAGCTAATTAACTAGTCAGTGAAAATGACATGCCCAAATTCAAGCTAGCACCAATAGACTCAAGTATGAGTGAAAATTCCAAAGAGTACATCAGACTACCTGTCTAAAAGTGATCCCTAAGCCTAACATTTTCCCTCCCTCTCTTAAAATCAACCACTCATTTCTTTCTAAATCTCTATCTATCTCTCTGCTTGAGCCCTTCATATACCTCTTTAATTGTACTAAAAAAAAGCACACTGGCCTCAATATAATTTGTCAATAAGACGATTCATGATTCAGTGAATAAATGGGATTTAAAGTGATAAAATAAGAATTAACATAGACTTTTAAAGATCTCCCGGTTTTCACAGTAAAAATGAATAATGGTGCTTCATATTATTATGGTGATATAGAAATGAATATTGGCGGCCATAGTAGAAATTATTGTGTATTGGTTGATAATTGTGAAAATGAATAATGGTGCGTCAAAATTATTGAAATAGTGTGAATTCTACCATGCCTGTGCTTGAAATTAAAGAAATCAACCATAGGTGGCCATACTTCTGGGTAATATTATAATTTTGTTGAAAGTTTTCAAATATTTTAATTTTTAATACACATGGCTCCACCATTGTCTTGTGCAATTAATAAACCTTGGTTTGAGTTCCTTCTATAAATTCGACAAATTAATGCTCTTCGATATATTTCCAAAACCAAATGAAAGATGTGCTATGCGTGAACTTTTAGAGGAGTTTAAGCAAAAGTATATTCTGGAAATACTTAGGGCTTAGAGTAACCCCTTGGCCCATTCGTTGTAAAAATATGGCTTTTTCTCATTAGAGAGTCAACCCTAAAGATGAGTTCCTGGTTTGTAGTAAATAGAGTGCCCACACAAAATTCTCTTATGGAGTTTGCCTTGGTTAGCAGGATCAAGTGCTTTATGTTGGATCCTTGGGCTAAGGATGTATGGATGAAAGAAGTGATGTGTCCATGAATTTGATTCGGGGAGAGGGTAGGGGACGGGGGGATTAGTGTGGGGGTGTATAGAAAATGCCCCTGAACTAATTCTAGACAACACAATTATATATGACTATAAGGAATACAAATTAACCGATTGCCCATAAATTAAGGCCAAAATCAAATAATTAACCAAAACCAAATAACCAAAAATTCCTTCCAAATAAATTCACCATCTAACTAGAAAGGTAAAATGCATATAGTAGACACACATCATCAAAATTAGAAAACTACTATACAGGTTGTTGTCTACAATTCAATACGAAATTAGGGTTCTTTCTAACCTAGAAGTAATTCAGTGGTTTCCTACTTCAAGAGTCTTAGTCAGTAAATCTGGAAGCCCAACCGCAGCAGATAAACATAAATATAGCAAATAAGGAGTACTTAATGAATTCTTTTTTCAACCGCAGTACTCAAATTCCCTTCAGCAAATTTCTAATTCCCAACCATAAGTGCTCAGAATTCTCGCATTCACCAAATCATTCATAGTGCCAGGGTTTCAAATTTCTAATTCATAAGAATTTGTCTAGCCTGAAGTCTGAACAATATAAATCTGATAAAAAAAGGGAATATTTGCTCACCTGCGTAGTGTTTTGGGTTCGAGACTAGAAGAAGAAGGAATCCTGCCAAAACTGCGAAACTGGAACCGAGGAGAGCTGTCTCAGTCGCCGGTAGCCATCGTGTACACTCTGCCGCCGCCCCTTTTTGCCATCTGCTCTGTGGGACGTTGAAGTAGAAAGAGGCGTGATATTATTGGCTATGCTCAGTGTCGCGTTGAAATCTTTATTTTATCAAAAATGTTAGGGTAATGTATCCAAAGTATCTCCACCAAAATGTTACTCAAATTTTATAATAAAACTTATATAATATTTGTAATAAATTATATGAAAAGTTCAACAAAATTATAGGTGACAAGCACAAAATTATATTATTTTATGAAATAATTAGTAAAAATAGGCAAATAAAATAAATTAATATTGAACATGTGAATAGTGTCCAGAAAAATCTATAGCGAACGAAAGGAATAGTATTTTATCATGTTTACGAAGTATATGCTTAAGTTCATAAAATAAATCTAGACTCAAGGACCACATAAAAATTTACCTTGTTCATTTTTCAATTCTTTTTATTTTTAATACCTTTCCCGACCTATATGTTTTTTATTTTAATTTACTTAAACTTACTTATTTCTTCTCATTTTCTTTTCTATTTATTGCACGCCTTTATTGTTTCTTTTGCTCACTTTTTGTTGTTTCTTATTTCTCTTTTTGTTTCTTTGTTTTGCTTGCCCACTGCATAATACGATGAAGAAATATTTCTTTTTTTTGGGTTTTGTTCTCTCTCTCTTTCTTCTTTTGCTAATTTTTTCTTTTGTTCCTTTTTAACTTTTTTATTTTTTTAAAAAAGAATTAACTATTTTTCATATCCATAAATTCTTTTATATCAATTTTCTTAACTTCATATTGCTTAAACTTAAATGTTTTTATTTCCTTTCATTTTATTTTTTATATACTTTTTTGTTTGCTTTTCTAAAATTCCATTGTTTTGTTTTTTCCTTGTTTTATTTCATCATACAAAACACACACAGACACAGACACATAGGGGCTGTTTGTTTCGGCCTCTTAATGGTTCAGCACTTAATGGTTTAGACTGTTTGTTTCAGCCTCTTAATGGTTCATATATTTGAATGGTTAAGAGATTTGCCTCTGAATAGTTAAGTATTATACAGAGTCTGAATGGTTAAGACCTCTTATCTGAATTGATCAGACATTTGCCTCCGAATAGTTAAGCAATATACTAGCTCTTAATGGTTCAGACCTCTTACTGGTTCAGCACTTAATGGTTCAGACCTCTTACTGGTTCAGCACTTACCCATTCAGAAGTTGTCAAACAGCTCCATATCCATAATACAAAGTAGAAATATATATTTGCTTTTTAGTTGCTGTCCACTCATGTCTCTCCCTTCTTTTTTGCTCATTGTTTCTCTTATTTCTGTTTTGACTTTTTTTATTTTTAATAAAAAATTTAAAGAAAGTTAAAAAAAGGAACAAAAGAAAAAAAAACTAGCAATGGAAGAAAGAGAGAGAACACAAAACTAAAAAAAGAAAAGAATAAATAAAATCCGAGAAAAAAACCAAAACACAAAAAATTTATAAAAAAGAAATAATTCCACACAATATTATTTAGTGGTCAAGCAAAATAGAAAAAAAGGAAACTATGAAAGAAATTGAGAAAATAAAACAAAAAAAAGCATACAAAAAAGTGAAAAGATAACGAAAAGAAAGAAAAAAATATTGAGTTCAACCAATTCAAAAATTGAAAAATTGAAATAAAAAACATATTTATCGAAAAAGGTACAAAAAGAGTTAAAAAGGGAACAAAAGAGAAAAAATAATGAAGTGAAACAAAGAGAGTAAAAACAAAAACAAAGAAAAAGATTCAAATTACAACAATAAATCTAAGGCCAAGGAGTATCTAGCAATTAAACAATGATCAAAATTTATTTTTTTTAATGAGGTAAAATCAAACTCTGAGTTCAATTAAGAACCCAAACAACCTATGGGGGTGGAGATGAGAAAACCCCTATGGGGTGGAGATGGGACCCCCACACATAACACAAACAATCAACTAGGGGTGTAAACGGATATTAATCGGATCGGATGTGCCATTACCATATCCGTATCCGTTTATTTTTGTCGGATATCGAATTCGGATACGGATCTTGACGGATACTGAAAATCAAAACCGTATCCGCATCCGTCGGATATCGGTCGGATATCGGATAAATCCGTATCCGTTTCTAATTTTTAAAATCAAATTAAACAATACTTTAATTTTAAATTAGATTAAAGTCAAACTATTATTAAATCAACTATAAGTTGGTATGAGATTATTATTTTCTTTGTTTTCATGATTTATAATATTTTACGATAACTTCATATGATAAAACGATATACAAAGCACACATATACACATATTTTTATATGTTTGTATTTATTTTTATGTGTCTACACATT